TATAACATTTTTGACATGCGTTTTCTGGATTTTTGTTGTTGTTATTCCGTCTCTCATTGTTCAAGTAAACCCACCATTAAAATGATAGACTGATCATTTCTTTGTCAGTGGGAAAACGTACAAAATCAGCAGGGGATCAAATACTTTTTTCCCTCACTGTAAACATATTAAGGCGCCGCCTTTGTTAGTGACTCTCAGAAAGTTGCCGACTGCTCGCCACAGAGGCACCCTGGGACTATTGCCAGGTCGATCAAGAAAATGTGTTCTCCTCGGGGGGGGGGCGCTCTGCACATTGTGTGCCCGAGCGGTGGTGCCCAGGGTAGACACCGCACGTGTAAAGCTGTGAATGTTTACCCTGCTGCTGCCCACTCGTGCGTGCAAGGAGACCCGAGCAGGAGGTGCGCTGGGTCCTCGAGGTTTCGGCCAACGAGCGCGAGAGTGGCCATCTGTAAAATTAAGTCGTGCCCAATGCGCCCAAGCTGTTTGCGTAACATCAAATTCATTATTTGAACTTTTTTTTGTTGTAAATTTCACCGGCTGCTCCCCGAGTTAATGGATGGACAAGAATATAAGTTTACATAACTGTATCAATTCACTGCACCATGCCATTCGTGACGGGTTATTTGACCATTATGCTTCACCATGCTGGTCAGTGCAGGTTGGTGATAGGAGAGGCCCAGAATCGGTTCAGATATCACTTGCCACTGATGTTAGCAATTGCTGGGAATTGGTATTCAAGTGGCTGAGATTATAGCCCAGTTCATTTATCTGGCTGTTAATACAGGGAGTGTACAATGCCACCTTAAAGAAGAAGCATTGTTCCACACGCATGCCTCCTTGCAGGGTGGCAGCTTGATCCATTCTATTTGACGACTGCTTTTCGATTTCTTTCACAAGCTTGTAAGCAAAGGTCACATTGACCTCTGAATATTTGTTCCACTGTTCTCAGAAAAAAATAATCCGACTGATAGCAAATACTCCGGTTTTATATCAGCTCTTTTTGGTGCCAAGAAATGTAGACGGAATTGGCGAGTGTGATCATGGGTGACTGGCACATTGCCCCGTATAAAAAAGTCGCTTGGCTGGCTGTGTCTAGGAATATAGCAACGATACCTCATTCTGCTGTCAGTCATGTGGGTTGTTTGACCATACTTCAACATGCTGTGGGTGTCCAGACACTCACCAACGTGTTTACATGTTGTCAAAGATATCGATACGTTAAACAGACTTTGTCAGATTTTGACTTAAAACTTTCGTGACTGCAGGAATTCATATTCTTTGGTTCTTTCGGTAAAGTCACATAGATATAAAAATAATAATTAAAAAAACCAAAGTGAATTACGATTTATAGCGTAGCAAATTATATCATGAGCCAATCAATTGTGGCTGCACCCCGGAATACGAAACTTGTTTTACCAGGTAAGGCCCACTGATCTATGAAGCTTCTTTTCAGAAACGACCTGGCCAAAAATGATCGCTCAACGAAGTGGCTTATCACGTGGAAATGTGTAGCAGCCAAATAGTCTAAACGCACGCTTTAAATGTGGAGGGAAACACCGGAAGACTCGCAGAAAAATCCACGCGACCACTGGGAGAAAGACATGCAAACTCCAAATATACAGGCGCCAGGGTCGGGATCGAACCCACGAACTCCTATATTAATTTGGTAGCTAAAGCGACCACCATTCACTCTCATGGAGATCTGTTAGCTGAAGCGACTTCATTCACTCGGTTAGTCTCTGCTGTGCATAACACTGGAATATAACCAATAAACACTGGGAATCATTCACTAGTCGGACACCTCCAACATCCAAAGTGTGGCTGTGCCCTTGCTGTGAACGCTGTTGGGTCCAGTGCTGAGCAACTTCCATACGTTTTGCTCTGGATCACTCACCATTCGCTCTGAGGTCATGAGGTCAAACATTTGCCACGTGTGTGTGTGTTTGTGACAAGCACTCGCTAACAGCACTTGTCCCAACAGTCTATGTAGGCTACATGGATTATTTTTGCTTTGCATTTTTAGTGATTTTTTATACAAATATTAGTTATTTTCAGAGCAATTTGCACATGTCATCGTGATAACCCGACGCAGTATAGGATACTAGAATTGTTGACAAGTTTCCATCATGAATATTTAATAGTTATTATTGTTACACATGCGCTGGAATTCAATGAAGCCACAGCTCACCGGACGGTGGATGTAGTGGAGTAGCGATGTGCGGTGGTCTGCACACTGCACTCTGAACCCGGCGACATGAGTGTGATTCCCGGCCACGGCTAACATCGGTGCCAAGTGATACCTGAACCAGTCCTGGGATGCTCCCCACCTTTAATTAACCCGCAACGACCAGCATGGTAAAGTATCGTCAAAGAACCAGACCTGGGAATGGTCTTCATCCAGCGGTAGACTTGCAAAGGACTTAGAAATTACCATGATTATTATTCATTAGTTTTTTTTGGGTTAGATCACGTAAATGTAAATGTGTCGTACACCCACCTCCACTTGACACAGCCAATTAGTAAGGCTTGTCACGTGAACAGAACGAGCTAATCAGTGCCGGATTAAGCTAGTGCAGGGCCTGTAGCATATGTTATAAAGGGGCCCTAATTTAAAAAAAAAACACGTAAATATAAAAAAACACATTTTTTACTTGCATAGTAAAGTAATTGTATTTTTTCATTTGCTATACAACCAGATAATACGACAAATCACTAACCTTAAACATCCAGTCGTTCATAAAAGTTGAAGGCAGTATAGTACTATAGTAATAGAACATGTGCAGAATCACTGAACCGGAAATTATAGCTTGAAAGCATTTAATGCGCGGCCTGTAGCATATGTAGCTACTTTTGCTACGAGGATAATCCGACATTGGTGTCAATGCGCTACTAAATCAGCGCACTGCTGTGTCACAGAGCAAGCCCACAACATTCACAATTGAGCAGGACGTTCCACCGGTGACTACAACCAGCATCGTCAGGCGATTGCCAGACCTGTGAATATGTCTTCCTGTTCAGCACGTTCCGGTCACGTGACGAACCTTACGAATTGGCCGTGTCGGGTGGAGGTGGGTGCACGACACAATTACGCGATTTAACCCCCCCCACGCCCCCCCCTCCCAAAAAAACGTTATCATGAATAATACTAATTGCGAAAACCTACGTGTCAACATTTATTAATGTTATTATTAAGCAATTCGGCCTACTGATTAACCTGCTTTTGCAGCACATCCAAACAGTGTGTGCGTCGGCTCCTGTGGAACAACGGCAGGCGGTGTGGCGGCGTTCACGCACCGGGCCACTGGGTGAGGGCTGGTGACGGGGGGGGAGGCACTTGCTGGGTTTATGTTTTGTGCTCTCACCTGCTCAGCGAGCCTGCCTCCAAGCAAGCGACGATCACAGTTGAAACGTTACACAAGTATCGCCCCCTATTAACCTGCACAAGTACTGTTCTTACAGGGCGCGCCTGAATAGATCGCACGTGAATAGAACACACCGGAATAGACTACGCCTGAATAGATCAAACATGAATAGAGCCCACCTGAATAGACCACACCTATTCTTTGGTTCTTTTGCTAAAGTCACGTAGATAGGTTCAAAGAAAATAACAAAAAAACTACGACGTTTCGATCGCAACACAAGCGGTCGTCATCAGGAAAAGGGGATTAGCTTCTAAAGGCAAAATGTTTATAAAGGTTTGAAATGGGCGTAGCCCATCAACCGAGAAAATGGGTACAAACTGAGCAATTATTGGAAGGACGTTATTAACCAGTTTAAGTCATAACTGGCTGTGATGTTCCCATCCTACCACCTTCCGATGTTAGTTGTTATTTTCGACTCTGGTTTTACATTAACAGGTTAAATTTCTCACACTAACACAGCCACCTCACGCGCCGACCTCGAGGTTGCTGCTCTGCGATCTTCCATTGACATGCTAATCTCTCACATTAACATAGCCACCTCAGCACGCTCGCCGTGGAGGCCCCTCAACGATCTTACATTGACATGCTAATTGTTACCTGGAAGCCCTTTAATTGGTGGAAACCCCACGACCGTCACAGTCGCTGCCCACCACTTACATTGGCTGCTGACATTTGGGCTATGCCCATTTTAAACCTTTATAAACATTTTGCTTTTAGAAGCTAACCCCCTTTTCCTGATGACGACCGCTTGTGTTGTGATCGAAACGTCATAGTTTTTTTGTTATTTTCTTTGAACCTATCTATGTGACTTTACCGAAAGAACCAAAGAATACGAATTCCTGCAGTCACGAAAGCGTTAAGTCAAGACCACACCTGATAGATCACACGTGAATATAGAGCACACGTGAAATGACCACACATGAATTTAGAGCACACCTGATAGATCACACGTGAAATTACTACATCCTAAATAAAGCGCAGCTGAATAGACCACACCTGATAGATCACACGTGAATATAGAGCACACGTAAAATGATCACACGTGAATATAGAGCACACCTGATAGATCACACGTGAATATAGAGCACACCTGATAGATCACACGTGAAATGACACCTGAATAGAGCGCACCATTCAATAGACCGCACCTGAATCGACAAAACCTAATAGATCACACATAAATAGATCACACCTAATAGATCATACGTGAATAGGGCACACCTGATAGATCACACGTGAACCGAGCACACATAAATAAAACAACACCTGAAGGGTGCAATGTGATATACATGTCATAATCTGCCGGTGTCTATCCCCTACTGGCAGAAGGCATGTGCAGGCAATGATATTCCACGAAGTGTCATCGAAACGCCGCAACGCCTCGACATTTCAGTTTTGTTTCATCGCGAAAGTTTACCCCGGGCATGGCATGAATTGAACATCGCAAAAACAAAAAAAATCACAAGCGTCAAGTGACGCTTTGACACGGCGGATTGTGAAAATTCGACGGCAACAGCAAGGCGTGTGGGACAGCGCGGCGTGAATGTATTTAAGAGCGATCGCAAGTGTGCACCTTACCCATGGGACAAAGCTCTTACTGACGTAACATGTCGCATCCCTTCATCCACGAGATCATTCCTGGTGGCGACTACGAGCGACGGTGCTTTTGTTTTAGTCTTCAGGCCGAAAGCCGTGCCACAGATCCCACTGCGAGAGATGTTGCGGCTGCGGAGAGGGCCAGTAACTTCCACGTGCGTGCAGCGTGGTGTTTGGGATTGGGGTGGGTGTGGGTGCAGTGTGGCGACGAGAGAGAGAGAGAGGAACGGATACTGTGGTGCATCTGCGTGCGCGTGCGTGCGTGTGTCACGGCGTTTGAGCTTGTGGCTCCTGGCAGAGAGGGAGGGAGGAGGGAGGGAGGAGGCACTTTTCGTGACGTCTCAACATTGGAGTTGGCCGCTGTCCACGCTCCGCTCCCAGGAATTTCACGTAACGCAAAAATACCGATAGGGAACCGACTACATTTTCTCCCCGTGTCAAGTAGTCTGCCTGTTGTCAGCTCTGGTATATTACAGCGCGCATGTTGAAGCCCGATGAGCGTTTGAGTTGTGGCCAGATCGGACACATTCGGTCAAAGGATTCCTGACTAAGAATCCCAACAGCACTCAACAAGCACTGTCTGATTTAAAGCTTTCGTGACTGCAAGGATTCATCTTCTTTGGTTCTTTCGGTAAAGTCACGTAGAATGAGAATAAAATAATAAAATAATAAATAAAATTCTCACGACGTTTCGGCCACAACACAAGTAGCCACAACCAACTTGTGTTGTGGCCGAAACGTCGTGAGAATTTGATTGTTTTATTTTATTATTTTATTCTCATTCTACGTGACTTTACCGAAAGAACCAAAGAAGAAGCACTGTCTGGCCACAGCAACAGTTCGAACGTGCTGAACTGTGACAATAAAACAACATGGAATGGATTATAGCGATTGCTGACCTACAGCGAACTCGCAACTTGTTTGGTCTGGTGACAAGTGCAGTCATTTGTGAAATGAGATTCTATGGCACCCAATGTTATCTTGCGCTGTTGGTAGTGTCGCGTGGTGGCGTATGTGGAGGGTTTTATTTAGGGTTGGGGGCCGTCCATAAATGACGTCACGCACCTGGGGGGGGGGGTCAGACATTTGTGACGATGTGTGACGATGGGGGGGGGGGGGGTTGAGAAACGTGACGTCACATCAAAATGTGTAACTTTAAATAAATATAGACAACACGTTCAACTTACTTAATTAAATAGACGTTTTAATAAATGTTTCTCCTACAACATCAGAGTGCAGCGCCACATTAAATACGCACTCCAATGACAATAGTTTAAAGCGATTTGAAGCATGTTTTATATATATTTTTGGGTGGGGGGGGGCAGAGTTTTGTGACGTCATATTTGAGGGGGGTCTGACTTTTTGTGACGCCGCGTGACGAAGGGGGGGGGGGGTCAAAATTCGTCCAAAATTGCGTGACGTCACTTATGGACGGCCCCTTGCCAAACGTCTGACGCACAAACACAAAACCAAGGCTTGTATTGGGCAAAATTATATCTCTAAATACCAGAAGAGGTGATTAAACTATATGTAGATGCGTTGTCTTGAGTGGCGTTATTATTATTATGCAACTTGACGAAAACCAGGACTTGTCCATTGAAGGCAGATTTCCCAGGAGAGCTAACTCACTTAACAACAGGGCATCCTGGGAAAATCAAGACAGGTGACAGCCCTATTTCAATTCGTCCCACTCATCCGTGGCTTCGTTAATTAAAACCGACGCTTAGGGTCGCAATAAATGCGGTGCATCGAATGTATCGCTCACAGGTTAATGCAAATGACACGCGCATTCAAACATATCGCCGTTACATTCAGACCCGATGAGACACTAACGTCGAGAAACAATACCAGCGAGATGATGTAAAAATACATTAAAATTAACCACGAACTCGGGTCGCGGTGATTCATCTAATCGCTCGGCATGGCGAGAGTTACAACCCTCTTTGTCACTCCACTGCTGGATGGAGGCCTCCCCTCGCCCGTCTCGGCCAATTATAATTATTACCGCATCGCGCGCTTTCAGATGCGCTTCTCCGGCCGTCTGGAACGCGCTCTTCCTTCCGATATGAGGAAGCCGCTGGAACTGTGCACCTTTAAACCGTCTCGATTGAAAACTCATTTCTTTAGAACTGCCTTGTCGTGTTTGATTTGATGTCCTTCCCCGCACGTTCGATGAGCACGGTTGGCTACGTACGGTGCGAAAGAAGTTCAGCATACTATTTGGGGCCGTCCATAAATGACGTCGCGCGATTTTTGACGATTTTTGACCCCCCCCCCCCTCGTCACGCGGCGTCACAAAAAGTCAGACCCCCCCCCCCTCAAATATGTCATTGTAGTGCGTATTTAATGTGCCGCTGCACTCAGATGTTGTAGGAGAAAACATTTATTTAAAAGTTTATTTAATTAAAAGTTGCGCATTTTGATGTGACGTCACATTTCTCAACCTCCCCCCCCTCGTCACACATCGTCACAAATGTCTGACCCCCCCCCCCCCCTCCCAGGTGCGCTACTGTAATCACCCGTGAAGGGGAGTCTCACTTAAGTCACAGGCAGTGTTGACAGCGTGCAGTGCGCTAACCACTGCGCCACCGCTCTGGCCCCATTACATTTTTTTACACGGCTTCAAACTCCCATTGTGGCTCGTGATTTCAACTCAAGGATGCCCTCTATGGAGAGAAACTGGGAAACACGTTCTCGATTTTCAACTCAGGAATGTAACCATTCGTACGAATAAGATACACTTTATGGAATCAATACGTGCATTGAAGCGTCATGCATCTTTTACGTAACGGACTCACAACACCTCTGCAGCCAGTAGAGGCCGCTAAATCCTTCACATTGCAAAAAAGCCAATTCAACTGCGGAGTCACGTACTGCTTCGCGTATTTAAACGGTGTACTAAAAGCAGGACGTTGCACGTGACTTCTCAGTGTGACATACACACATACATATGCCAGAATGTAACGAGAATATATTTACACACAACGCAATGTCCGTTACATTGTTTCAATTAACAATAATGATTTACAGCCCATTCTGTCAATCCACTGATGGATGACGGGGGGGTGTTTCACCATACTTCACCAAGCTGGCAAGCGTGGCTTGGTAAAGGGTGGTTGGGTTCAGGACTGCTTCAAATGGGCCCATATTACAGTGCACTAACCACTGCACCACAGCTCTCCTGCACACCACAACGTCGCTCGGATATATTTGCACACATATCATAGGGGCCGTCCATAAATGACGTCACGCGATTTTGGACGATTTTTGACCCCCCCCCTCGTCACACGGCGTCACAAAAAGTCAGACCCCCCCCTCAAATATGACGTCACAAAGCTCTACCCCCCCCCCCCCCTCCAAACCATATTTCCATTTTGAAAATAAAACATGGTTCAAATCGCTTTAAACTATTGTCATTGTAGTGCGTATTTAACGTGGCGCTGCACTCTGATGTTGTAGGAGTGTTATAACAATTAGTGTTGTTATAACAATTGTATATTTTAGCTCTTTCGGTAAAGCCACGTTGTTTTATATATATTTTATTATTTTATTGTTTCCCTTCAACGTGACTTTACCGAAAGAGCTAAGAATATGAATTACTGCAGTCACGAAAGCTTGAAATCAAAATTCTATATTTATTAAAAGTTGCGCATTTTGATGTGACGTCACATTTCTCAACCCCCTCCCTCCCCTCGTCACACATCGTCACAAATGTCTGACCCCCCCCCCTAGGTGCGTGACGTCATTTATGGACGGCCCCATACCACGCAGACACCCCTCCCCCCCCCCCACGTTATTCTGCGCAATGCACACAGCTCCCTTGTTGTTGCCAATGCACTGCCGGATGAACGCCTCCCCATGCCGTGTTGGTCACGAGGGGTTGGTGTCACCCATACCGCACCGCGCTGCTCAATGCGGGTTTGGTGATGGCTTCAGACATCACTCGCCACTGGCGTAGTCGCGATTCGAGCTTCTGTCAGTCCACGATCTCAGAGTTCAGTGCGCAAACCACTGCGCCACTATTCACCCCCCCCCCCACCCCCCACCCCCCACCGTGATCATTTAATATAACGCGACAGTATCATCATCATCGGGCATTCTCTATCCACTGCTGGATGATGTCGTTGGCGTTGCTGAACTGGAATATGGAATAATGTATGCACAGCAATCAGTAACCCCTCCTTAAAAGAAGTCGTGAGGCTCGGTGAGGCTCTTCTGGGTAATGAGGCGTAATGGTTAAAGCGACCCCCTCACAAATCCAGCGCCGCCACCATCCATCGCTTCATCTGCTCTTTCAACGCTACTCTGTGCAAAGACAAAGATCCCCCGTGTAGCCTTAACAGACCGTTGGGGGCAAGTGCTGTTAGCGATCACCTATGAAGGCCGGAACTTCAAACGAAGGGGTGCGTGGCGAGCACCACTCCCGGGCGCCTTTGACTCCTTATTGGCAATGTTTACTAAACGCCGCACCAGGTGCTTATTTGAGGCTGAATCGACCTAAGGAAGGCCCAAGACCGGTTCAGAGAATCGTCACTGGCGTTGGTGGGGCCGTGATCGGGAATCGAACTGGGGTCGCAGGGTTCGTAGCGCTCCCCACGTGCTATAAAATCAAGCTATGCGAAGCATGCTTTGTACTTGTGCGTGAGCCAATACATTGCATTTGAAATATCACAAATCTGGGATTAATATGGATTTTTTTTAATGTAAATAATCCTTGCTCGTGATTTTTTTTTAGTATCCAGAGAAATTACCATTCCTCATCATCTTGCTGCTCCGTGTCTCCCCAGGAATGCAAGGGGGTGGTAGGGGCTTAGTCACAAGAGAAAATAAATCATTGCCGGGACTAACTTCCAGGTTCAACTGCAGTAACCTGCCGTGGAAAAAGGCGAAAGGATGGCTGGCATTCATTATTTACGAACCAGAGAACGCAAGTTTGTACCCTCAGGGTTATCTTACTTCTGCAACATCTTCTGCTATTCCATGAAGGTCCCAGAGTAGGGAAAATAAAATGCGGAATTCGATACGTTTGTGTGTGCAGTGCATTGGATGTGTACCGTATTGGCTGGATTATAAGACGCTCTGGAAAATAAGACACACAACCCAAACTTTGCGTCCGGTGTCAATTATACCCACACTCTAAGTGGACGCTGTGTTGTGTGCTCTCTGGATGCTGCCTGGGGACTGTTTCGCAAAAAAACGCATTCTGTGAAGACAGCTGGAAGACCAGAACCAGAGTGCTGATGGAGTGGACTGCGACTGGCAATACGTTAATGGTTGAACCTTCCGCGAATATTTTACAGTGCACTCTTCCAGTACGGGGCTAATAATGTGTTAATAATGTGTTAATAATGTGTTAAGGGAGGGCTGACTCGGATAAAACTAAAAAAACAAAGGTAAAACGATACGGATACTATCTACTCTGAAACGAAAACAATCAACACAGTTGGTAAATAACACTACTCTAAAAGAGTAAATATTA